AATGAATTCTTTCACAATATTTATATGTTTCTCTGCAAGTGAGACAGTATATTCAACTTCAATTCTTTCTCATAGCACAGCTGCATTATCTGGCTCAAGAGTTTCAATAATTGTATATACAGATTCTAATAAGAACTGGAACATACATTAATACAGTGCTTTAATATAAATACTTCATTTTTTAGCACTTAATATGTCTTGACTGATGTCTTCTGAACAGATATATTGATTCTTTGTAAGAATATCAGATTTACAGATAACTTCAGTATTCATAAGAATTTCTGTACATCAGATCTTATAGTTATTATCATCAAATATAATTACAGCTTTGATATTCATAGCTTTTTAAACATTCTTTTGATATTCACAGATCTCAGATTTGAAATCATCTGCTGCAGAGATGACTACTCAATATATACTCATTCTGTTGCAGAATATTATCAGATCATTGAATATCATTGATATTATATTATCTGAACTTATTCTAGATATGATACTTGTGTATTACACTTCTATAGACATTACTTATAAGCTTAAAGTGTCATTATTCAATTCATGATTCACTTCACTATTTACAGATAACTTCATGATCTCTTCTGTGACTTTTATATATTATATAGTATCTATTTTCTCTGATTCTTCATTGATAGATCTCTGAGTGTGAGAATATAAATATAAAATTCTTCTTCTATCACTTTGTGATGTAGGCATATCACTCATCAGTCAAAGAAGAATTGAATGAAGAAATTGAAAAAGAAAACATATTATATTATACTGTAGAATTCTGCTATTTCAATTGTCAGTCAAGCAGATACACTTGTAATATGCAATGTAAACTGTCAGGTCACGTGATCTGGCTTACTAATCCTTCCATCATATAACTTTTCACAAGCTAGCAATCTTTCAATCACACAAGCGTTACACCTTCCACAGGTTATGAGACTCATTTTGTGCAAAATCGCTGCCAATTCGGGATTCCTTATTGATATAATCATTATTTAACTACTGCTTCATTTGATACGCTCATCAGGAGTTAAAATCATCTTATTCTATCAGTATTGATGTGTTTGAGATCTTGATGATCAATAATACTACTGCTCACTTAAAAAAGAGGCTTGCAGAAAATGCACCATCTTTACAAAAAAAAAAAAAGCAAGAAAAGAGAATGATATTGACAAGAATTCAATAAATGAATATCAAGATGATGGATTCAATACAATCTCGCTCACATACACATTCGTGATCTTGTATTCTTTTCACTGAATCAGTTGCAGTTGATGATGATGATGATTTCTCACACTCATACTCTGTCAGTGAACATTCTTCTGAAGCCTTTGAAAGCTTCATTGATAAATGCTCTGAAACACTCTCTTGATTTGAAGCTGATTTGAATACAGCTTCTGACACAGTCATGCTGGCCTTCTGATCTACTCAACAGCTTAATGCTGATTCTCTTGATGAGAATAATGAACACTCAGATATCTACTGTTCAGATGAGACAATATCAGACTAACAGATAAAGCATGTCAAGATAATGCTTGAGATGAACAAGAGGAAGCAAAGAGTCTTAGAACTCAAACTACAACTGAAAAAACTCTGTTAACAGAGATTCTCTACAGATTGATCACAGAATATCAACAATTATTCTGTCATCACATCAACAGTCACATGAAATTCTAATCTCAGTGAAAGGTTGAAATTCAATCTTTATGAACTGAATAGCTGTGTTGACAAGGCAATCTCTTAATTCAAGAAAGATGTTAAGAATACTGTGAGATTAAACAGTCTGACTGGCACATTCAATTACATCACATGAAGCATCTTCATGAAATCAAAACTGATTGATGCACAGTGCTGATATATGATAGAGAAACAACAGACTCAGAACTCTCTATAAAAAGATGATGAATGAGCATCATTCTGAGATGTCAGAAATCAGTGACTCTACACATTCATCTCAAACTTCTTGAGTGCAGGTGTCAGATCACATTTCTTCAAATATAATAAAAATCAGATTACTTATACTCTATGAAATGCGATCAAACAGAAATACTCTGTTCTCAAAACACAGTTACACTGTGAGACAGTTCTGAAATTCATGTCTCTTAATGACATACAGGTCATCAATCTACACACATTCTTTGATAAGTTTCAGTTCATCATCATGAAATTGAAGATGTTGAATGCTTCTCTCTCAGATGCATGAATATTTGATATCTTCTACTCAGTTCTACTCGACAATTGAAGAAATTATATTCAGAAGAAGATAGAGAAGATACAGAATTTCAAATTCACAGCTGTGGTATTAAATGTTGATCTTCTCATAAAGGAAATTCATTCACAGCTTGATTCTTCAAAAGATAAAAAGAATCTGCAGAATATAGATTCTGCAGCTAACTCAGCTATAACAGCTACAACAGCTACAACAGCTATAACAGCCACAACAACTATCAGTAACAATACATCAAATTCAGCCCGTGGAGGCCGTACTGAACATGGTCATGACAGTACACAAGAGAGCTCTTAAAATTATCAGGGATTGAGAAACCTATCTACATGTTCTGAATGTAAGAGATCTTACTTTGACAACTGTTGATTGATCAATTCAGACAGTACTTCAGATAATTGAAGAATCTACAATACTGTAAGAATAAAGAAATTCAAAGAAAAGAAAGAAAAGAATAATAGTGAGAATAAGACTCAACTATTCATTACAGATGATTCAGAGACCTTTCAGATGACAAATCTTGCAGAGGTTATCAATGTGTCAGCCTGTTTTATGAAACCTCACAAGGATTTCTTCAACAGGCATTTATACATATTAAAAGACATCATCTTTCAGAAGAACCTTCATCTTACTGATTCATCAATACTGACTACTTCACATAACTCAAAGATTCTACTCAATGCAGTCTGTAAGACAGCTGCAGCAATTTCTTCAGTGACAGCAGATCTACTCACTGCAGTCTGTCAAGAGACTGCAGTGATTTCTGATTCATTAATTGATAATCTATTCATTGATGAGGAAATTCAATCTGAGTGTTTCTTATTTCTCATACTTAATAATAATTGATGAATTGACTATAATATCTCTGTAAGAATATCTACTCTTTTAGTGCAGAATATACTGAACTTCTCAGAACTCACAGTTGAATCTGATAACTCTTCAATATCTACAAGAGATATCACTATAGTAGAGAAATCAACAGTGAGAGAATTTTCAGTAAGAGATAGTTTTAAAGACCTACTCATTAATTCTGAGATCACTGTACTTTCAATTCTGAAAAACCTCACACGTGTCAAAGCTTCCATGAAATGAAAGTATTATTACAAGGCCTGTGTTAAAGAGGTCAACTGTTTGAAATATATACATTGAAAAGAGAATATAAAGAAGATAGAGAAATAGAGAGATAAAAAAAAATAATGTATATTATAACTGATTTTTCATTGCTTCACATTTTCCAGTCATTTTTTATACCTGTACTTGATTTGAAGGTGAATTTTATATATAGCATTGTGTATAGTTACTCTGGTGAGTGAGAGTGTCAGGTCACATGATCTGGCTTACTAATCCTTTCACTATATAACTTTTCACAAGCTAGTAATCTTTCAATCACACAAGCTTTACACCTTTCACATAAACATGATAAAAGAATTCTTCTATCTGAGATGAACACATTCAATACTTATGCAGGTGTTTTTAAACAAAAGTAAGAAAAAAATGTAATTCTTTGTAAAAATGTGCTATCCAGGCTATAACCTGTGAGATGGTTAATCTGTTGTATTCGTGTAGGAAGAGCTAGCTATATATATATTACATATGAGATCACGTGTAGGCGGAGCGGTCGTTACGGCAACGCCACTAGGGCGGATGCTACAGTTTCCACGGGTTAGTCACATGATATAATTGTATTAGAAAAAGATACACTCTGAAGAAAACAGGAGAGCAGCAGAGCCAACTGTTCACTCAGCTTTCATTCTTCTTTTCTGTTCTAGCAAATAGTGACACTTACTTGCATCAATGCTCGCTTTTCTTGTGAATAAGTTTAGACAGCAGAATAATAGCGAGTCTAGAACAGGCCATTCTGAACGCCGCTATGACGGTTCCTTCGACGGGGAAACAATATACGACTATTTCGGCAACCTCGTTATCAAGAGCCACAACATCCGAGATGGACACCCTGTCGCCATTAAATTCAAAACCGTGGGCTTTTTCTGGGAATCAGAGGCGGACATGATGGCCTACGCGCACTCTCAGAACCTCTTGGCTCCTGCCGTCTGGGAATGCCGCCAACTCGACAGCCATCGGATCGCCATGATTGCCGACTTTGTGCCAGGCAATCCACTTGACGAGGTCTGGCCGACATTGGATGAACAACAACGCATGTCGATCACAGAACAGCTTGCAGACCATTTAAAACTTTTCAGGTCATGCACCCAGCCGTATATTGGACGTGTCAATCGCCAACCCACCTACAACCCATACGAAGGCATCGAGAGAAAGCTCATGGGGCCATTCAACTCAGAGGCCGATTTCGATCAATGGTGTCTTTCCCGTATAAAGAACCCGTCTGAAAAAAGCAAGTGGAGGAGGAAACTCGCTGAATTACGGAGGAATAGTCAGTCAAAGTTTGTGCTCACACACGGAGACCTCTTTCCACGGAATATACTTGTTAAGGAAGGGAAGATAACAGGTATTGTGGACTGGGAGCGTAGCGGATTTTATCCGGAGTATGTCGAGTACGCACTTGCCGCATGTTTGTATGATTATGGAGGAGAAGAGTGGTGGAAACCCTTACTGATGGAAGCCTTGACTCCTTGCATTCCAGAGCGACTAGAAGTTCAGAGTGTGATATACAAGCGAGGATATTGAAACTCATGTGCATTATGCTAAACTTCGGGCCGCAATGAAATATTGCCTGACTGGATACTTAAATACCCCTCTTCTCAACCCTGCCTTCCCAACTAGGATAATGTGATTATGCCGCAAAAACTTCAGTATGTCCTCAATACTTTCAGCATCATCTCAAACCCTTGAATATGCTCCGCAAACCCTTCATCTTGTTGCATTCGGCATCGGAGATATAGCGCATTGGGCGCTATTTATTCCCAACAGAACGGCTGACCCTACCGGAACCCTTGTGCACATCGGGATAGAAGGCAATGACGCGAAGTCTGGCGGAGGTGAGGCTGAGCTACTTATCAACCAGTTCCAACTCTCGCGCAGCTCTGCAAAGAGTGTTGTGCCTCTTGTAGGCTCACGTGCAACACGCGGGGAAGTTGAGGATGCGGCGAGAGCATGCTTTGAGAGTTTCGATTACAATATCCTTCTCGACAACTGTCAGACTTTCACTATTGATGTCTTGACAGAATTGCGACGAAGATTGCCCTCTCAGATCCAGCAAGCTTCGATCAATCTTATCCGGGAACAATACGGAACAACACCAGTTAAAATCCAGCAATTTCTCGACCGACACAAACAACAACAAAACACTGAAGGACATCAACCTGAGTCTTCAGAGCCACGATTTTCCCTTGATTAATGGCAACACTTCGCCGTCAACGGTCAATGAATGCGCGACCGTCTTTGAATGGCAGCCCGGCAGTGATTTACTATGGTTTGGTGGTGAAGGAACATAAGGGTGTCTTGATGCCGTTTAGTCTGGATATTCCTAAAGATATGATATTAAATATCAAAATCTACATGAGATTAGCTAAATAAATCTGGTTTGTTTCTGCTTGGCTTATACCTCTTCAAAGCTTGAAATGAAAGGCTGGCTGTGCTTCTTGCTCTGATTGTTACAAGAGCCCTGTTTCTTATCTGAAGGCCTGAAATAGGTAAATAATGACCACAGTCAATTTGCAGCATGGTCAAGTGTAAAATGACTATATCAGTTCATGTTTTAACACCTTCAGTTCATTTTGAAATAGTTAATTATCTACATAGATTAATATAGTAATAGTAATAAACATGATACAATTTAGTAACTCTAGTTATATCTTTTCAACCTTCAAATCTACATGCTGGAAATGGCCTTTTTCACTTCGTTCTCTTGCGCTCACTATATCAAGACATTATTCAATAAATGCATCAGAGCCTTGACCCCGGTCATTCTTATAGAAATGTTTCATTTAATAAAGGCTTTTAGCTTAGCAAAGAACTCTTCAATTGAATTTAAGTTTGATAAATAGAGTGATAGGTATATCAAGACAATCTCTGCATCAGTACACATTTACTCCAGGCTATGAGACAGTTATATATAGCCTGTATTACCTCAGTAGCTGATTATGAAGTTCAAGTTTGATGGAATAATCAAGGAAATTTCACTGAACTCTTTCAAAGTCTGTAAAACAGAGCTTTGAGAAGAATTCTGAGAGTATTCAAATCATCTTCTATTAAAGTAATGAAAATTGAAGCTTCAATTTCTTCTTCTGTTATTAGATTTGAAAAGATCTGTATAAAGTATGATCTGAGAGTTATAAAGATGAGCTTAAATTATATAATCAGAGAAAGAGTCTCTTCTTCATTTTCATTAATTAACTCTGAAGATGAACTAGATTGAAATAGATTTCTTAATTGAAATGAAAATAATTCTTCAAAGAAAATATCTTCTCAATTATAACAGACTATACTTACTGATTAAAAATCAATTATCTTCTTTCAATATTGAATAAGTTAATCATGAGAAGATATCTCTCTGAAGAGAAAAGCTTGAATCTCTTATAGACTTATAAATAAGTGAACTATTTAAAGAGAAAGAATATAAACAGCATTTGAAGAGAATTTCTACAATTAATATAGAAGACTCTATTCTGATTTATTCAGATGATTTAAAAAATGAGAATTTGAATAGATTAGATACAGATATTACTTATACTGAAGATAATATCAATTTTATCTCAGATTTCTGAAATTTAGACTGTGAATCTGAAGTCTTTGATACTGAACTATTTATAATAGTAAAAGCTTTCAAACTTATTGAAATAAAATCTTATAAAAGAGAAAATAGTTCAAAAGAGATATGAATATTCTCTGATAGTCAAGCTGCTTTAAAAAGACTTAGAAATAGTTAGATTTATAATAATTAAATAAATCTTGAACTTATTTTAAACTCTGTTTTGAAAATTCAAAAGAGAAGAATATCAAAGATGATAATTTATCTACACTAAGTTTCTGTTTATATGAATATTCATGATAATGAATTAACTGATTCAGCTGTAAAAAGGAATTCAGAATTAAGCAGATCTTTTCAAAAAATTATATTCTAGTCTTTTATAAAGAGAAAGATAAAAGAATATTATTTAGATAAGTGAAATGAAAGTTAACAGAAATAAAAGAAGAGTATATATTATTAAAGATTTGAAATAAAACTCAAGTGAAAATCTTGTTTAATTAAATATAAAAAGATAATATTCTCATCTATAATACAGCTGAAACTAGAACATAGGTATTTTAAATCTTATATACAAAGATTTGATGATAGATTTGATTCAATAGAATGCTTATTCTGCAATGTAAATAAGAATTTTGAGTATATTATAATACACTGTGTATTATACAATAATCTGAGAGTCAGATTGAAAGAGAAGTATATTTTAAATCAATTAAATATACAATTCTTATTCTCAACTGAGACAGGAATTAAATACTTAATAGACTTTCTATCAGAAACTCAAGCAGCGACAAGAAAATGACTAAATTCAGAAATATTTAAATATAAAGAGAAGGAAATTGATCAGATATAGTCTGTTAAAACAGCTATATACTATCTTTTAATAATTTGTTTTATTATAGTCTCTCTTTACTTTACTTTTTTCTTTCTATTCTTTTCTATTGTGGCGGGCTGCGCCTGATCAATCATATAGACTATTTCATTACACTTCACAGATTTCTACTGCTCTGATTCTCAGTCGCTGATTCTCAGCTGAAAATCTATGAAATTTCTATTCTTCTGCTCTGAAGCTTCACTATGTATGAAAACCTCTATTCTTTCACTCTGAAGTTCCTCTGTGTATGTCACTGCATATGTGTGTAAATATTCATTTCAATCACTGATTCTCACACTTTCTCTTTCTTTTCTTCTCTAATATTTTTCACTTTGTTATATAAGATCTATAAATATTATGCTGATCTATTCAGTATAGATCTGTTACACTTGAAAAACATTCATTATCTTCTTATTAAAAACAATTACTTATCAAGATATCTGAATACATAATAATATATAAGAAATAGAGAAACAGTTAAACAGTTAAATAGATACTATATTCTCAGATAGAAGCTTACTTATCAGTCACTCTGATTCTATAACAAAATCTTATGAAGAGAGTAAGATCTTATAAAGAGAATATCAGTGAAAGATCTGAGAGTTATAACATCACAGATATATAAGATATTCATATAATTACACTTCTTCTGATTTCACAGATATCATATATTTAATAATCAATATAATCATGTCTAACAATAATATGAGAGAACTCTCAAATGTGAGTATAGATATAATATCACAGTGACTCTGAGTAATATTGAAATTACAACAGTAATAGATAGCTGATATACATACAACTCAACAACTTCAATATGAGAAAATTCAACAATTAATTTAATAAGAAACTCATATAATTTCAATATTTACAGAATTGAATATAAAAGCACTGAAAGAATACATAGATGCTTTCACACATTTCAATACTTTCAATCTCACTCTCTACTCATCATGAAGAATGAAAATACTCATGAAACTTAGTATAGATGAAGATATTATAAGTTCACTAATCAATCAAGATTGATATATCAATGAATAATGGAAGAATCACATGAAATAAAAGTTTCATTCATGAATGAAAGCATGTGAACCAGTATTGTAAATATCTGATAATATTATTAAATATCTTGATATTCTGTTCTGAGACACTGTCATGCAACAGAAAGTATTAGATTAATTATAGATTATCTGACAGAGAAACACTTCTCTTACAATATTTATTCCTAACATTGATATCAAGATCTTAGAAGCAGGTGATCAATCTTGAGAGAATTAAATGAAGATTAGTATACTCAAGAAGATAATAACTTTCAAACTCTTACAGACTCTTATAAGCATAAATAAAGACCTGACTTATGAAGACTTCTGCACACAGCTTCAGATACTGAATGACTGTCTTATCAAGCTCAAGAGAATACAGAACAGTGATAGAAGATATTACACTCACATATCTGTGTTAAGAAATAACTCAGCTACTCATACATCTGCACTGAGAAATAATAACAATGATGCAGATGCTATGAACTGAGTAAACTTGAATATCTATATATAAGCAAGAGTCTTCATTATCTGAACAGGCTTCTGAGTCTCTGAGATCACTTCTGAAGAAGTCATTAATCAATATCAATAAGAAGTGTGCATCAACTGTAATTAATCAGAGTATATTACTTTCAACTGTTGATCAGTCTATATATCTTCTTGCTTAAAGAATGAATCAGCATCTGTTCACATCAATCATATTATATTAGAGAAGGATTTATAAGATAACTATAAGAATATCTCAATGAAACAGAGAAAAGATTAACTTCTGTTCAAATTCATAAGCAAAAGCTTAAAGAGATTAAATGATAATAATTTAAAGAGAAAATAACAATGAACATAATTCTTGTATCTACTATGATAGATAATATGTATAATATAAAAGTCATGATAGACAGCAGTCTATGTCATTATACAATGATTAAATCTTCAATCATAAGATATTATAATCTTCAGTATATTCTCTTATCAAGATCTCAACTCCTCACAGAATTTGATGATTTAAAAGATATTCATACTCATTACATGATGAAACTAAACATAGATGTTAAAGAACATTAATATGAAGATATTCATGTATACAAAGTGAATAATTTTGACTATAATCTTATACTAGAACTTGTCTGACTATCTGAATAAAATATCTTCTTGAATACTCAAAACAGAGGCTTAATATTCTTGAATAATGATAGAATTCACAAAGATGATATTCACAAGACTATGAATTTTACGCAGATCTCTATCAATACTTAAAAAATACTCTGAAAAAGAAGTCATCATCAAAGTCACTGACAGAGTCACTTATAAAATCACTGATAGAAGAATTATATATCAATTTATTTCATCAGTCTGACTGATATTAAAAAAGCTCTAGAAAAGTTATCTTATACTATAATAACAGATTCTCACACAAAACTCTGTTAATAATATCATAAATATCTAGATATCTTCTGATAAGATAATATTATAAATATATCTTCTTTACAAGACTCAGAAGTGAATCACAGTATCAAGTTAAAAAAGAAGAATAAGAAGAACTCTGAGTCACTGTGAGACTCTCTTTATAATATATCTCAAGATGAACTTCTTCTTCTTCAGAAGACACTCAATAATCTATTGAATAAGAGATTTATATATATTAGTAACTCTTTCACTGCAGCTTCTATTCTCTTTATAAAGAAGTCAGATGAAGAACTCTGATTCTGTGTGAACTATTGAGATCTGAACAGACTAAC